AGGTGCAGAGGCAGAGGGAGAAGCAGGCTCTCCGTTGATCAGGGAGCCTGATGCGGGACTCGATCCCAGGACCCTGAGGTCATGACCTGAGCTGAAGGCAGACGCTTCACCGCCTGAGCCACTCGGGCGCCCCTGAAAGTGGAATTTAAAATACCATGAATAGGGGCGCCCGGGTGGCTCAGTCGTTAAGCGTCTGCCTTCAGCTCAGGTCATGATCCCAGGGTCCTGGGATTGAGCCCCGCATCGGGCTCCCTGCTCCGTGGGAGGCCTGCTTCTCCCTTTCCCACTCTCCCTGCTGTGTTCCCTCTCTCGCTGTATCTCTCTGTCAAACAAATAAAATCTTTAAAAAAAAAAAAAACAAAATAAAATACCATGAATAATAACGTCAAAAAAATCAATACCTAGGAATAAATATGATCAAAGAGACTTGCAGAGAAAAATTACTTTCTCTGCATTATCTTTTTAATTTAAGGAATCTCTACACCCAACATGGGGCTTGAGCTCACAACCCTGAGATCAGGAGTCACATGTTCTGATCAAGCCAGTCGGGTGCCCCCAGACTTGCAGAGAAAGTTAGAGACTAAGTGGAAACATACTACATTTGTGGATTGTGGATTGAAAGACTCAACATCGGGGAGATGCCACTCTCCTAGAAATGATCTGTAGGTTCACTGGAATTCCAATCAAAGTCTAGGACAGTGGCTTTCAGCCTTTTGACTGTGTTCCAGTTACACACACAGTCACATACAAAACAAGAACAAAAGTTTTGTGTAACCATACTTGTCCTCACTACTTAAGATTGCCTTTGATGTTTTCTGTTATATTCTAGGGGTTTTTGTTGTTGTTGCTGTTCATTTGTATCCATGAGCTTGGTTTTGGTTGTTGTTTAATTCCACATATAAGTGAGATTATATCGTATTGGCCTTTCTTGGACTTAGTTCTCTTAGCATGATGCCCTCAAGGGCCATCTGATGGTTTCTGTTATATTCTTGATCATATTGTTTTTTAAAGATTTCATTTATTTATTTATTTGACAGAGACACGGCGAGAGAGGGAACACAAGCAGGGGGAGTGGAAGAGGGAGAAGCAGGCTTCCCGTGGAGCAGGGAGCCCAATGCGGGGCTCAATCCCAGGACCCTGGGATCATGACCTGAGCCGAAGGCAGCTGCTTAATGACTGAGCCACCCAGGCGCTCCTCTTGATCATATTTTTAATGCTAGTCTGAAATTGATTGCATTACCCACTAGTGGGACAGGACCTGCAGTTTTAGAAATATCACATGAGGGAAGGCCAAGTTGTTTTAGAAAATCATTGTCCAGCTGAGAGCCGACTGACATGTGGTGGATTTCTCAGTGGCTTGATAGAACATCAGAATAGAGACACCATGCGACCTTGCCGCTGAGCCCTCTCCTCCAGGTGGCCCCCTTCATGACACAGCCCACCCAAGGGGCTCCTCTCTAGCTTAATCACATCACACTGGATGGTGTGTCGGTGATCATCACGTCGTATATGCTGTTTATTAAAAAAAAATTTTTTTTTTACGCAGAGTACAAGGGGCCTTACTGTAGCCATCAAACAACCTGTGGGTCAACCTCGATAACATGGAAGAATGATCTGATCTAGGGATGGGGGAGGAGAGGGGGCGCTCAAAAGGAGGAAGACAGTGACAGGTGAATAGTACAACAAGTGTATACAAATCACCTGTAAAAATGGGGAGGCAGAGGGGCGGAGGAAGGACAGGCTGTATGGGGACAGAATGCTCATCTTTTATACCAGGGCTGGGGGTTCAATACAAAATGTGTAAAAAGGAGCAAATTTCCAGGTGAAAAACTCAGAAATAGAGGCGAGCGATGTACGCTTACTATCAGATGTCAGGGCCATGATGCTACGAGAAAGAAAGGCTGGTTAGGGTGAGATTTGGGGGACGGTTTGGGGTGGGCCCAAGGATCAGGACCAGGTGCGGGGCTTCTGACTCTTAACTTTATAGTTTGAGTACTTTATTTTCATGTGATGTGTTACTTTTGGTAATGAAAAGGATGGCAGTTTTTTGTGTTTTCGTTGTGTTTTAACCAGCACCTAGCATAGCGGGGGCAGGGGCATGAGGCTAGGGCGGGGACCCACTGACACATTCAGCAGGATATACTGAGCATCACTGGTGTGCCTGGCCTGCTGCTGGCCGGTGCTGGGGACACGCAGTGACTGGGACAGCCCCGGGCCCTGCCCTCGTGGGGCTCGTGGGCCGGCGCGGAGACAGAGTGCAGACAAGTGACTGGGTGACCAGATCAGTCCCAGTTGTGATAGGTGCTCTGAAGGGAATACACAGAATGGCAGGAGGGACAAAGGTCCCTGGATAGGGAGGTCAGGTCAGGGGACATTGGTCAGAGCTGGGACAGAGCGTGGACCAGGACAGCGGGTGGGGGTGTGGGAGAGACATTCAGGAGACAGAGACAGGCACGTGGCTGAGAGGCTGTGGGGGAGGGGAACAACCGAGTCCCAAGTCTCTGGCCTAGTGACAGGATGGACCCAGGAGGAGAAACAAGTGTCTGTTGGGGGTGGGGAGCCGGGGTCAGGTTTGGACACAGTGAGTGTGTCTGGGAGACATCTGGGGACCTGTTGGATCCCCGGGTCAGGTGCTGTCCTCAGTCTTGTCCTGTCCTGGCTTCTCATGGCTACCTCTTCTTGCCAACCCCCCATTCCCACACGGACCTTGTTTCCTGAACCCCAAATCTGAGAGACTGCCATCGGCCCCTGCTCTGAAAGCCTTCTCTCTCTCACACACACACCCTTCAATTTCATTTCCTACGCCTGTATGTGTGCCCCCACCCCTCGTGCCCACTCCCATTTGCACACCCAGGCTCGACCACTGACCCAGGTCATCCTGCTCTGTCCACAGTGGGGTGCTGGGACATTCACCCAGGGGGGCCAGTGGAGGCTGGTGCTGTCTCCCCTCACCTCTCTCCGGCCGCTATGCTTTGTGGGCCTGACATGAAGGATCATGTGACAGTTACAGGCCCGGCCCCCCGGCCCGACATCCCAGGGCTGGCGTGTGGTCATCACCTCCCCATTTTACAGAGGCGGCTCAAAGTGGGCTGTCCTTGCAGTAGGTGACAGAGCTCCAGGTGGACCCCAGCCTGGCCTGAAGCTAGGACCTCAGTGTGGGAGGGGTCTGCACAGCCCGGACCCCAGGAACCCCACAACACCAGGGCCTCCGTAACAATTAGTGGTAACAGTGAGCACCGCAGCGGGCATTCACGGGTGGGGGGATGGGGGGTGGGGGGGTGGCTGTGCTCCTTAGATCCTACTGCTGGCTCCAGGCAGAGCCCAACATTTTTGCTGCTCCGCCCCTTTAAAACATTGAAAAGTTATATACCCTCTAGTGCATTTTCAAGGTGACAGCTAAAACTTCTCCATGAATTCAAGTAGATGCAGAGGCTATAATTTCTGGTGTGTCATGAATATTGATATTTTCAGAGTTGGCGCCATCCTTCCTTCAGAGTATCGAATGCAATTCACGTAACTTGTGATTTGGTGCCTGCTACTCTTGGTTTAAAGGGGGAAAACAACGAACAAGCTGTTCTTTTACAGTCAGAAATTTCACATTGTTCCTTGAACTTTGTCCTTGAGCTTCTGTTTACACTTCCCTTGCAGAATTCTGTCTAATAAAGTATGTGTCAGCAACCAAAATATGTACAGAAATCCAAATTTTAATTTTTGTTTCATTTCCGGGGACCATAAGGTTATAAATGTTCAAATAACTTCCTCTGGATTCTTAAAATTACTAGTGCACAATGCATTTAAAACATTTCATATATTATGCATTTACGTGGATGATTATGAAACATTAGAAGTGAAGTGCTGTGTTGGACATGAGTCTCCAAATGAACTAGACAGCGATTTTGTGTATCCTGGACAAATATGAATTACTGCAGGAGAGAGTCATGGTCTGGCATAATTCTGCCTTGGTTTTTAAGACTCAGAGGCTGAGAATCTCCCTGCACAAAGAAGCAGCTAGGCAAGAAAGCTTTTGTTCCAGCAGCAGCGGTCGGCTCGTGAGCCTCTTCCAAGGTATGTGCCCCGCACCTCGCCGCGAAGAGCTCCCAAGACTGTTAGCTACATCCTCAGGGTTGGTGAAAATCGAGGAGGATGGGAGCCACCAGACTTGCCAAGAGGATCGGTTACCTGCTGTTCACAGTCGCTTCACATGCATTCCCACATGCCAGTGGCCTTTTCTTTGGAGCCAGGAGGGCCCCCTACCCTGCAGCCCTAACTCTGAATTTGGGGAAGATTCGGAAAGAAATTGGAGGGGGGGGTTCTTTCTCCTGAGAAGTGGGTTGGACGACTGTGTCAGGGAAGGAGGAATGCTTGGCTGTCCTGCTGGTGGCTTGAGGGGAGGAACAGAGGGGGCTAAGGTTAAAGCCTCTGACAGTTGAATCTGTACACCTTCCAGGGACTTTGTGTCCTGGGAGCTCTTTGTAACCCTACAGGGGCGTTTCCTGCCCCCCACCCCTCAACCAGACTGAGAACTTCCCTTCCTGGGCAGGGTTTCTGATTCCCGGCTGCTTGGCAGAATCCTTTGGGAAATTTAAAAAGATACCCTGGAGGGGCGCCTGGGTGGCTCAGTTGGTTAAGCGACTGCCTTCGGCTCAGGTCATGATCCTGGAGTCCCAGGATCCAGTCCCGCATCGGGCTCCCTGCTCAGCAGGGGGTCTGCTTCTCCCTCTGCCCTCTTCCTCTCTCTCCTGCTCTCTGTCTCTCATTCTCTCTCTCTCAAATAAATAAATAAAATCTTTAAAAAAAAAAAAAAAGATACCCTGGGGTCACCCCAGGCCAGTGACTCAACACCGCCGGGCGAGGCCAGTGCGGGTCTTGTTTAAGGCGATCCCCCCCCGTGGTTCTGGTGGTCGTGTGCCCATTGCTCCAGCCTGGACGCCCGAAGTGCGTTGGGGTGGGGCTTGTAGGGGGCTCCTGGCGCACGACCTGACCCCTCTCTTCCCCCGCAGTGTACCACTGGGTGGAGATGCGGACCAAGATGCGCATCATGGGCTTCCGGGGCACAGTCATCAAGCCGCTGAACGAGGACGCGGCCGCCGAGCTGGGCGCCGAGCTGCTGGGCGAGGCCACCATCTTCGTCGTGGGCGGCGGCTGCCTGGTGCTGGAATACTGGCGCCACCAGACACACCAGCGTCACAAGGAGGAGGAGCAGCGCGCCGCCTGGGACGCGATGCGGGACGAGGTGGGCCGCCTGGCGCTGGCGCTGGAGACGCTGCAGGTGCAGATGCAGGCGGCGCCGGCGCCCAGCGCCCTGGAGGAGCTGCAGGCGCAGATGCGAGAGGTGCGCGCCCAGCTCTGCGCCCGGGACCCGCAGCCCGCGTCCCCGGCGGTATCCGCGGCCAAGGTACAGGAGTCTGCTCAGGTCTGAACTTGTCGGTGGTTGTGTGTGCCCCGGTGTGGCCTTCTCCCCGCACCACCCCCGCCTGCGCTGGCCCCGCGGAAGCCACCGGGATCTTGATGGCACTTGGATTCAGTTAGCCTCTGCCGACCCGCCGTACCTTCCGCGGGGGCCAGCCCCCAGCCGGTGAAGCGGTCCCACGAAGCGCCCTCCAGCCCTAGCTCCTCGGTACAGACCACAGTGCTCAGCGCTTCACCCCAACCCCAAACCGCACGGACCTGAGCCGTCCCAGCCAGGAAGACAACAGGCACGCTCTTCTGGCAGGAGGAAAAACGGACTGGACTTGAGCTCAATCAAGCTGTGACCCCACTCCGCCCCCCATTTCGGTGATAAATGTTACCCTGCCCTGGGACTCATCCTTTTCCCTGGAACCTCCCCCCCACTCTTTGCTTTGTGAATCGGCACAGACCATTGTAAAGAAATGCAGTGTGGTTCAGTGCTCTTCTGTCCCGGCATCTAAGGGGGGCTCTAGCTGGGTTTCGCCACTCTCTTTGAGGGGAAAACAAGGGGGATCCTGGCTTGCACTTGATCCACTGAATGCTATATCTTCCCCCTTAACCTGATCTGTGGCACCCTACGAGACCCCAAGTGGAATATTCCAACAGATCCCCACCCCCCAGTCCTTCAGTCTGGCACAACCTACCGGGATGTCTGTGCAGGGTCCTCTCTGGCATGCCCTCCCATCACCCCCTCTGCGGTGGAAAAATGGATCCTGCCTAAGGCTAAATCCAACCTGCCCTTCAGCCTCGTCCCCCTGTTTAGCTGTCCTCCAAGTCCCTGAGCCTTTCCTGACGTGTCCTCTTCCGTGGCCTCTCTTAGCACACTGCCATCACGTTCCTCATGTTCCATCCAAATCTGCTGACCTGTGTACCCTTGCCCTTCTCTCCTGGGGCTCTGGACCGGTCCAATTGTCCCCCTTCACGCAGTGGGACCCTCGTGCCTCCAGAGCCCTCGGCCCAACCTCCATCCCACTAGACTAGGCCACCAGTTGGTCTTAACCGTTCTTAGTTTCCTAGGGCTACCATAACATGACCACAAACTTGATGGCTTAAAACCAGAGAAAACTGTTCTCTCGCAGTTCTGGAGGCCACAGATCTAAAATCAAAGACTCAGCAGGGCCATGCTCCATCCGAGGGCCCTGGGGGAAGATCCTTCCTTGCCTCTTCTAACTTCTGGTGACTTCAGGCATTCCTTGCCTTGAGGCCCTGTGGCTGCAGATCTCTAGTCTCTGCCTCCATCTTCATGTGGCCTTCTCCTCGTGTCTCTTATAAAGGCACGTGTCTTTGGATTTAGGGCCCACCCTAAACCTAGGATGATTTCACTTCAGGATCTTTAACTTATTTACAGAGTTTTGTTTTTTTTTTCCCCCAGATACACTCACAGTCACAGGTTCCATGGGTTACTGTGTGGACATATCTCTTAGGGAGCCACCATTCAACCCACTACACCTCCCCACCCCAAAGAGGACGCTGGGACCCTTGCAAACCCCATGGGACATGTGGCCTTCCCCACAGGGGTGATAGGAACAGTCCAGGAACCAGCATTTACTATGGGGTGTCTCTTCCGGGAATCTCACTGATGCGGTGGGGGTGTGGCTCCCACCAGTCTGCATTCTGTCCTGCAGACCGTCCATGTTATGTTGCCTGAATAAAAGAGCCCCAGAATGAGGAAGTCATCTTTAGGATGTGTCTGAGGACATAGGGATCTTCAAAATGGTTACAAGCCTCGTTAAAATTAGAGAAGCCGATGTGTGTGAGTGGGCAGTGATCCTATGAACGCTCTCCCTGATGGGGAAGCTGAGGCCCAGGGAAAGCAAAGGGACTTGCCCATGGCCATGAAGCCAATGAGGGACTGACTGTCCAAGGTGGTGAAGTAATTAAGAGCAGAGTGGGGGTCAGGGCTCAGGGAAGGAGATGGAAAAGGGGTGCAGGGTGCTGGAGAGCACCAGTAGGGGAGAGGGGAGCAGGGAGGCAGTTACTGGGGAGGAGGGGTGGTTAGGGATCTCCACAGAGGCCCAAGACATTTCCCAGAGGCAGCGTTGAGAGTGGGGGGCCCTCAATTTCCGGTCCAAGCAGCCCCAGACCACACCTGAAATCTTTGCATTTAATGAATGGGGTCAGATCCAAGATCCATTCTACCTGGGCCGGGTTCCAAGAAGCTGTAGGTGAAGCGGGAGGGGCAGGCTTTCTCTCAACTCTTCTCTCCTTCACCTCACTGCCAGGGCGCCGGGGGGCTGGGGTGGGGGCGGGCAGGGTGATCTGGACACAACACCTACCCAGACAGAAAACCAAGAAACTGGGGTCCTGAAAGATCATCTTAATTCCTTCTAGAAGTAGGGGAGAAGTTGACTGTAGAGGGAGCTGAGGAGGTGGGTCCTGGGTGGAGGTGTCTTTAAAATCAGAAGTGAGGGTGCCTGGGTGGCTCAGCTAGTTAAGCGTCTGCCTTCGGCTCAGGTCATGATCCCAGGGTCCTGGGATTGAGCCCCGCATCGGGCTCCCTGCTCAGTGGGGAGTCTGCTTCTCCCTCTCCCGCTCCCCCTGCTTGTGCTCTAAGTAAAAATAAATAAAATAAAATAAAATCGGAAGTGACCTGAGTAGATAAATGAGAAGAAGATACCGAGAGAGAGCACTGGGTGGAGGAGTGATGGATGGAGCCAGGTGAGAGGGCTCAGTGCCCAGTTTCCATGGCTACTCCTGGGGGTGCCCTGTGGCACTGACCCATCTCTGGAGCACAGGTTGCTGGAGGCCAAGCGACTGTGACATACCATCATCTCAATAAATACTGGCCATTAACAATATTTTCTTCATTTCTTTCATGAGAAAATTGAGGTACAAAAAGGGGGAGTCACCTGCCCAAGGACACACAGGCAGGAAAGAAGCAGGAGTGGGACCAGAAGATGGACAGTCTATACCAGAGCCCAAGCTCCAAACCCCTGCACCATCTTGACCCTGAGGTGGTATTACTGTCACGTCCCGACACTCAGAACTCAGCCCTGCATGTCCTTCCATGTGGCCAGACCTTGTGGGATGCGTTGGCTTCACCCACTGGGTGGGATCAGGGTGTGTGGAAATGCAAAGAATCCCCTCTCAAAAAGCACGAGGCTGAGACTGGAGGATGCTTCATTACCTGCTTTCCTACTAGCTAAATTTGTGTATACATTTGCGACTTGGGGAGAGGGGTAGAATAAATTTATAAATGAAGTTGGTTGTCTGCAAGTTGATGTGTTTTTTTTTAATCTTTAAAAAACTCCTGTTACAACCTTAGGAAAAACGTCCTCCAATTATTCTTTCATTCAGGAAACTTTCAGGTGTCCACTGTGTACCCCGCCCTGCTCTGTGTCGTGCTGGGGTCCCAGCAGGGAGCGAGACGGCCACAACCCTGCCGTCATGGCACCCCAGTCCGGTGGGGGGACATCCGTTCACAGACATTGCTTTTCCAACGTTACCTGCCTGCCCCGCGGTGATTTGGGAAGAAGGGGCCTCACTGAATCCAGACTCCTCCCCTCCTGAGGGACTCAGGACTAGGGCAGAAAAAAACAGAAACCCATTTACACTGGCTCACAAAAGCCTCCCAGCTGTCCTGAGGGCTCTGCCTCTCCCATCTCTGGCTCGGCTCGGCTCCGTTGTCCTCTCTGTTGGTTTCCCACTCCGGCAGCCCCTTGCCTGGAGAAAGCCACCCCTAGAGAAAGTGGACTTCGGTAAGCCCCTGCCTGATTCGTCTGCCCATATAGCCGTCCCTGTGCTAGCCACTGTAACTCTCAAACGGCCAGGCCTGGGCCCCCGACCCCAATGGATGGAGGGAAGCGTGCCCAAAGGACAATCGAGTGGGTGCCCTGCACCCACTCGTTAGACAACTCATTAGCACGTACTGCATGCCTGGCCCCATTGTAGTAGCTGGGAGTCGGCCAGGAACAAGACAAGGGCTCTCACTGTCTCGGAGCTGTTGTCTAGTGCAGGAGTTGGGCAGTAAAGACGTAAAGGGCTGATCCAGTGGGAGGGTTCAGGAGCGAAGAGTTTACTGATCCCTGGAATATAGTAAGTGAGGGGAGTCAGGGGAATGAAGACCAACAATGAAGTGCCCTTGTCTTGGTTGGCCCAGCTCTGGAGGCTCCTACCAGCTCTGGGCACCCCAGAGGACTGGCGACTGCGTCTCTCCTCAACTACTCCAGACCCAGCTCTGCTTCCTTCCCTCCGCACCTGCAGGCGTCGTTCCCCCAAAGACTCTGCCATAACCCTACTGCACACGGATCTCAAGAGTCTATGGGGCGCCTGGGTGGCTCAGTTGGTTGAGCCCCCGACTCTTGATTTCAGCTCAGGTCATGATCTCAGAGTCGTGAGATTGAGCCCCGCGTCGGGCTCCGCGCTCAGAGTCTGCTTGTCTCTTTCCCTCTGCTCCTCTCTCAAATAAATCAATAAAATCTTTAAAAAAAAAAAAAAAGTCTTCATCTTTCAACCCCGGGCGGCAAGCCACAGTGAGAAGCAGAGTTTATACCATGTACGTATTTATATAACTTACAGTTCACACTCTATTATAAATATGGCATAAGTCATGCATTGTGTGACATAGTATATAATACTTTTTATGTAATATGTAACATAACATTGTATATGTTGTGTGTGTGTATCATTGGAATGAAAATTTCACTAAATACCCTTAATACGTACCTTGCAGTCTGATACTTCTTACCGTATTCCTTTTCATGAAGAAAAGCTACAGATACAGATGTATCCTATGTACCTAATATATATTATAAACATATAAAACCCATTATATGTATTTGATAACACAATGTTAACATCATACATTATGTATTACATATACGGTTAGAACAAAAGTTTCGCTAAATGATAATTGCCGTCACCATGTGCAATGCACTCTGTTACTTCCTATTTTTTTCTATCTCATAAAGAAGGGCATATACCTATGTATGTATTATACAGACCTACATAAAGTGGGCTGCCCTGGGCCTTTGGCTTTTATTCTGGGCGAGGCAGGAGCCGTGGGAGGCTCTGAGCAGAGGAGGGATGTGAGCTGACTTAGGGTCCCCCCCCGACGGACTATGGGGGGCAAAGGTGAAAGCTGCCAGTCCGGTAAAGAGAAGACTGTGGTTGTCCAGGTGTGGGGGGCATGGTGGCCGGACCAGGGGGAGAAGTGGAGGTAGGGAGAAGTGGGATTCTGGGCATATTAGTATTGCAGAGGTGGAGCAGACAGGATTTGCTGAGTGATGGGATGTGGGGGTGTCACTGAAAGCTTCTAGGTTTTTTGCTCTGTGCACCTAGAAGGGAAACACTGGCATATCCTAAGATGGTGAGGCTACCACAGAACCAGGCACAAGGAGATATTGGGAGCCCCTGCCCTTCCTTATCCCCAGGTAATCTCAGATTTGGGCGCCCTTTGGCAGGTTTTTGTTACTCTGAACTGTAGCCAGGGA